ACCTTTGTTATTTGACTTTACTTTTGTTTGACAGAACTCCCTCTGACACCCAGGCTGGAGTGGAGTGGTGTGATCTCGGCTCACTGCCAGCCGCGCCTCCTGGGTTCACACCATTCTCCTGCCTCAGCCTCCCGAGTAACTGGGACTACAGGTGCCTGCCACCACGCCTGGCCAGTTTTTTGTATTTTTAGTTAAGACGGGATTTCACCGTGTTAGCCAGGATTGTCTGGATCTCCTGACCAGATCCTTGATCCTCCTGCCTCAGCCTCCCAAAGTGCTGAGATTACAGGCATGAGCTACCAGGCCAAGCCTATTTGACTTTCTTTACATAGAAACACCAAGAACACCAGAGAATGCTCCAGGGTTTCAGACTTAGTTCTGTCTCTTCATATTAAATAGAACCAATGTTGTCTTCCCCTGGGGGAAGCTTCATTCTGCCTGGGTCCTCAGACCTTCCAACCAGCAAAGCTCCATTTCTCCAGGACAGGCATAGGAAAACTTTGTGACTGAGACATTTGGTGCAATACTGAACATTATCCACTTTCACACTTTCACTTTCAGAACTACACCTTCTGGCTGTCAGGGAGTCAGCACTGTACACTGGTTTCCAGTAGAAAGCATGACATTTATCTTGTAAAACAAACCATCACTTCAGCAACTCCAGTTACAATCGCAACTAAGTGATCCTAAGCCAAACCCAGTTGCTTCCAGGTGGTGGCTGACGTAGTGAGAACAGTTAGTTCCCTGGTCAGGGGCCACTGCTGCATGTCCCTCGCTGTGAATGAAATGACCTGGTCAAAAGCAATGCCATGTGGGCTGCCATGATGGTGACAGGAAGGATGAGCAAGTCTATATCCAGGTAGGGGCTCCCTGCAGTGAAGGCCAATCTCAGCTCCCTCCACAGTGTGGGCAGCACGCCCACAGGCGGCCAGCCGGTCCTCCTGGGAAACAGTGCCAGCCCAGGGATTGACATCAAGTCTCTCATTAGCAGATGGGATGCTCGGCAGTGGTGTCAGCCTGGTCAGCCTTAGTCAGGGCACATGCAGCATGCTGAGCCTCTTGTGTCTCATGCCTGTCTGATGGTCACTTTGTCCCCAACCTAATGTGGTGGCCAGGGAAAGAAGCTGACTGCATCTACCTGGTGTGCCAGTTTCCCCACCTTTGATCAAGAGCATCCTCTGCAGGGATTCTCTTTGGTGGAACAATGGAAATGTGGATGAAACCACCTTCCCAGTCTGAGCTGCTGAGGCTCCTCCGCCTTCTGGGAAGCCCGACTGGAAGGTGCTTGGCAGTGATAGCTGCTATGGCTGCAGCAGCGGCTAGGCTGTAGGACGAGGCTTCCAGGAGGGGGCTGGTGTGGTAGGCAGGGCCTCAAAGCCTCCAGGTGGCATGTTGGGGCGTTGTTGGGCCAGGCTTTGGGGTGCAGACTGCCTGCAGTGCAGTGATGGAGTTGGGAAGAGGCGTCAGTGTTCATAGCTGTTAACCCCTTGTGCCAGCCGCCCATATCATCACTGTACGGGCTCAGCATCTCTGGCCCTGCTTGTCCAGGTTGTCTGATGTGAATTCTCGCAGCACTCAAGGCGTACTGTGCCCTGGTCCCCTGTGTGGTCACCTGGGGGCCTGTAGTGCCCCTCTCCTGCTAGTACTCAGGATGAAGCCAGGTCCCTCTGGGCCTGGGACTTGGGCCCTGGGGGAGGAGCTGTGACCCACAGGTGGGGTCAGAACCCCGCAGCACGCTGCTGGCTGGCTGGGGCTGCAGGAACCCCACGCTCAGCCTTCCCTCCAGAGGCCTCGATGGGACCAAGTTCACCATTGAGTATCTCCCAAGGCCCAGAAGCCAAAAATATAAAATAAAAATAAAACATCAGTAAAAAACAGCCAGCAGCCATCTGGGGCTGCAAGGCAGCTAGGCGGGTGCCACCTGGGCTCCTTCCATGCCATGTTGTTCTTCTACTGAGGGGAGTTGCAGACAGGGGACACCTTGTTGCTTGGTGTCTTTCAAAGTGCCTCCTCTCTGTCATAAACCCCGGCAGGGCCTGGTGTCGGGGTCCCAGTGGGCTCACTGGGCGGGGTGCGTCTTGTTGTTCCAGGGCTGCTGTCCACGGAAGATGGAGAAGTGACAGAGTCCCAGGAGCCGTGTTCAAAATGGCAGCACGGAAACACGGACCCCGAACATGCGGGTCTGTGTGGAGCTGTGGCCTAGCGTTCCTGGACAAGTGTTTCCGTGTAATAGAAAGCCTGACCTCACCAGGGGACAGGCTGCCCTCATCTCGAGCCTCTGGCCCCCTCAGAGAGCAGTCTTCTGTTCTGGGTTCTGGGGAAGCTCCTTCGTGCTGATGGGCCTGGGCCTGGGCCTTGGGGACAGCCCCATCGGGCCAGGCTGGGAGAGGACAAGACTTTTGTCCCAGGGGGACTGATGGCTTGAGCTCCGGGAGCTGAGCTGGTGGAGTGGGGACGGCCAGTCTGTCTCCTTCACAGAGGGTCTCAATGCCAGGGAACACCCTCGAGGACATCTGCTTGGCTGAAAAAAAGAAGCAGACATGGTCAGCATCTTCTCCAAGCCCATCTGGTCTCTTGAGGGCTACGCCCCACAGGCCTGGGTCTCTGGAGTCTTCTGGGTCCCTGTGCGGCCCCCTGGTCTGACACTGAGGATGCCCCTGCAGGCTGCTGATCCCAGGGCGAGGGCTGTGTGCAGTCTGGGGTGGGGGAGCTTTCGGGGAACCTCAGGTCGCTCCTGAAATGCCCCCAGGGTTCAGGGTGGCTCAGGGCTTCCTGCCTCACGCCCTCACCTCAGGGCTGTTTGGCAGCCCCGATTCAGGGCTCAGGTGTGAGGGACCTGCACTGTCACCCAGCCTCCTTGTCACCTCACATGGGGGTCTGTCTCCACAGCAGGTGAGAAGTGAATGGGCACGTGTTCCCCTCTGCCCTCCAGGCCACCCACCCCATGCCAGGGCTGCAGCTATCCCACACCCGGCTGAACTCTGGGTTCTGGCTCTGGGTCAGGGATTCCCCCAATGCCCTCTGCCAGAATCCTCTACGGGTCAGGGACACTGATTCTCTTTTCCCCCTGGCTTGTTGTTTTGACACCCTTGGGGGGACACTAGAGAATGAAGGGTCCCTGCCGCTTGGAGGTGGGGGTGGGGGCGGGGGCTTCCACAGTGGGGTCTGACTGCCCCAGTGTCCCTCAGGGCCCTTCGAGGAGGAGAGGACAATGTGGAAAGTGGGGAAGGGGTGTTGGGGGGTCCTGCCCATGGCCCCTGCCTGTCCACGCAGCATGTCCAGCATGCACACACGTGCGCTCAGCACCTGCCCACCCATTTGACTTTCTTAGAGTAGAGGAGGAAGAGGAGGAAGAAGAGGTGCAGGAGGAAGGCCAGGTAGGAGGGCTGATGGGGACAAGGCACTCCCCACCACTGACTGTCCCAGAGGGTGACTCGGGAGGGGACCTGGTGCTGGGGCTCACCTGGGGGTGGCAGGTCCCGGTGTTTCCTTGTGAGTTCCTTCATGGAGGTTTGAAGGATCCTGAGGACCGCGTTGTCCTCCAGGGCCCAGCTCTGAGAGAGTCGCTCCTGAAATTCCCAGACGGTGCTCCAGGGAAGCTTCATGAGGTGCTCTAGGGACAGGGCAGGCATTAGGCCAGGAGGGTTCCCTGGGAGGGGCCGTGCCTGCACCCCATTTCCACCAGGCCTACCTCCCACTGGGTGGTGCCTGCTTCTTTGCTTCTTTTTGGCCACCCTGAGGTCCAGCTGTGAACAGGAGGCTACAGTTGAGGAAGGCCGGGCAAGGAAGTGCTCACCACACTCCTGACTTTCATCTGGGTCATGTGGGGGGTGGACTCAGTGTCATCATGCCTTGCCCAACTCACCAGACCAGACCCCCCATCCGGATGGAGCAAGCAATGTAAGGACACTTCCCTCAGGCCAGCTAGGGTCTGTCCCATGTGTTCCCCCAGGCACCCTCAGGCACACAGAACTTACTCCTATGTATTTTGAATGATGCATGCACCATGGCCGTCAGTACCCACTCGCCCTCCAAGATGAGCACATCCCACAGTCTCAGGGTGAGTCCGAAGGACTTCTGTGGAGACAGCAGGTGTGGGAGGACCTGGCCTTTCCAAGTTGGGGCCGGTGGCCTGAGCAGGGCCCACTGGGGTTTCAGTCCCCTGGAGTGCTGGGGACCCCTCTCCATGGGATGAGACCCCCTATAAAACTGAGTCAGACAAGGTCTTGTAGCTCCTTATGGGGTGCTCATCTCAGCAGCGCTGTGGCTTCTGGAAGGAGGGGCTTCCTGAGGACTTCAGGCTTCCCTGGGCCCTCCCAAGTCCTGCCCCAATCTGCCCACGAGGCTGGGCCTGAGCCCTGGCCTCTGCCATGGGATGCCCCCTCTTGGGCAGGGCCTGGCTTGTGAGCCCTGAAGGGACCTGCCTGTGCCTCCTGTGGGCTGGGGGTGAGCCAGGTCCTCCTGGGGGAGCTGGACCCCTGAGCTGAGGAGTTGGGCACTGTGGGGCAGGAGAGTCCCTGGGCTGGGGTCTCCCTGTGACTCTTTACCCCATCAAGGAAACACCGGAGGAGACTTGTCAGCATGGAACCCTCAATGCACAGCCCTTCCTTGCCTTGAAAGGAGGAGCAGAGGTGCTCAGGGCCCCCTGGGCTGCCCTGAAATCCTCCCAGTTCCAGGCTCCTCTGCAGACCCTTCCTCAAGGAGCAGAACCCAGGGCGGTGGCCACGGCTCCGACACCTGCCCCATGCACAGATGCCCAGTGGACACATATCCTTTGGCCTTGCTCAGCTGCAGCTCAGCATTGGTACCAGTGCCTCTGCCTCTGCCAGGGAAGGAAAAGGAAACCCAAAGCTGAACCCATGGGGAATCCCCATCCCAGGTCAGGCTGTGGCTGGGACTCAGCCTCTTGCCAGCACCATGAGGGACTCGAGCCTCCCCTGGCTTATGAGACCCAGGGCCTCTGGGGAGGAGTGGAGGGTGTCACCCACTCACCAGGTGTCTCATGATCTTCAGGAAGGACTTGTGCAACACCTGCTCCTGGTGCAATAGGAGCCTCTCGAGCTGGGCAGTATTTGGGCTGTAGAATACTGAGAAGCCCCCGACCCAACACCCCATCAGACCCCACTCCCAAGATGTGGAGGCATCAGCTGGAAGAGCTGGGCAGGGTGGGGAACTCCGGACCCCGAGGCCTCCCTCCCTCCCATCTGGTGACCCCAGCATGCAGCCTCAGCCCTGGGGAGGAAGGCCCTGGCTGGAGGCACTGCCCAGTGGCATCCTGGGTCCAGGTGCCAGGAGGGCAGCCTGCCTTTGACACCATGAGGCAGTTGCCAGCGGGGAGAACAGGGTGGGAGCTGGGGGCTATGTGGCCATCTCTTGGATGTGGGGTCAGGCTGGGGGACATGGGATGGGCAGACACTGCCATCTTGGCTTTGTTGGCCCATCTGTAGGGAGGGAAGGTGGCTGGGAACACAGCCAGCTGGGAGGCAAGAGGACACTCAGGGAAGTGAGTGGCACCTGCACAAAGTCAGGGCTGGCTTCGTGCAACAGAGGGCAGCCAGGGGGAGGTATCCCCACCCTCTGATGTTAGGGATGAAAGGTATCTGGCTTGAGGTGAGGGGGTCCCTGTCCAGACTCAGGCTGCTGTGGGACCTCAGCAGGGACATCCTGGAGGCTCCAAACAAGCTGGGATACAAGGAAGACACCTTGCCTGGAAGTTGGGGTCACCGGCCAGGGTGGCCGTCCCTTGGCATGGCTGTGTAAGGCCGAGGGGACAGCTGTCCACCTACCCTGCAGGGAGTACCTCTCACCGGCCAGCAGCTGGGTCAGTGCCCAGAAAGCGTCTTCCTCTGGCAGATACAGGAGGAGGATGGCGGTGACGTGGCTCAGGTCCCTGTGGTAGCCCACCTCCTGCGAGAGCCAGAGTCACCGTGGAAGGATGTCACCTGGGAGGGCTGAGGCCACCTGGGAGGACTTATGTCACCAGAGATAACAGAGGTCCTTGGGGACACCTGCCTCAGGCCCCAGGAGATTTGAGGTGCAGCCTCCACACCCCTCCCCTGGCACTGGGCATGAGGACTGAGCAGGTCACGCACAACTCAGTTGACAAGGAGCCTGGGGGCACTCCTGCAGCGAGCGTCCAAGCTCACATGGCCTGAAAGGGCACAGTCAGGGATTGTTCATGCTCCCTACCCTGGGCCAGGCTGGGGAGGCCACTGTGCCAGGCCTGGGGCAGCACCTCTGAACTGCACCTGCCATTAGGGCAGGCAGCGGGGCACTGACCACCACACAAAGGGTCCTGCAACCACCCAAGGGCTGCCTGCCAGACACAGGGGGCGGCTGGGTCCTCCATGTGGGCAGCTCATGCGGTCGGCTCAGCGGCTGTCCCTGCCTGGAATGGTCTGAAAAGTGGGTGCCAAGCAGGAGCAGCCACCTGGGTGACCCCCTCCCTATCTGCTATGCTCCTATGGGGTTTGGGCAAAGGGGAAATTGGATCATTGCCAAGTTTCCAGTAAGAAGAAGCATCCCCCAGGATGCAAACTCATTTCATGACAAGAGCCTCAGCAACTTCTCAAACCTGTCTCCTATGAGGACCATCCTGCATAGGCCCCTGACAAGCTCCTAGGCTTTGGGGCAACACCTTGAGAGGAAGGTCATTTCTTCATCTGAGACGTGATGTTTGGGTCCAGGTGACACCAGGAGTCTGGGCCTCAACCCTTTTCTGCCAGCAGTGAGCTTGAGTCCTCCCTACTATGTGCTGGTGGGTCACGAACACTGAATTTTCTTTTTCTTTTTCTTTTTTTTTTTTTTGAGACGGAGTCTCGCTCTGTCGCCCAGGCTGGAGTGCAGTGGCCGGATCTCAGCTCACTGCAAGCTCTGCCTCCCGGGTTCATGCCATTCTCCTGCCTCAGCCTCCCGAGTAGCTGGGACTACAGGCGCCCGCCACCTCGCCCGGCTAGTTTTTTGTATTTTTTAGTAGAGACGGGGTTTCACCGGATTAGCCAGGATGGTCTCGATCTCCTGACCTTGTGATCCGCCCGTCTCGGTCTCCCAAAGTGCTGGGATTACAGGCTTGAGCCACCGCGCCCCGCCAAACACTGAATTTTTAAGAAGTGCTGACACCCTTGAGAGACACCCATGCCTGTGAATATGGGCACATGACCCAGGAATATCGCTGCCCGGGAATACTCGCAGGGTTATATGCAGAATAGGCCACGAGGATGTCACATAATTCCTGCTGCCTAGAAAAGAGGGAAAAGAGGGTTTTCTTTGTTTTGTGCAGATGCTGTCAGTTTCGTTTTGTCTACAGACCTGGACAACAAACACAATTCTGGATTCAGATGATCTCCCAAATAAGCAGGGGGCTCTTCAGGACACCTGAGTTTTTAGGTGTTTTTTCAGTAAAATCCACATTCTTTGCAATGCAAATATCACAGATGTAAAGTTGGATCAGTGATCATTTTCACTCTGGTTGATTTTTTCTTGCCTTTTTTCTTGGTTTGGATACACGGAAGTCCAGTTTTTGGGATGTGCAGTTCCATGGTTCTGAACCAATGTGCAGAGCCTCCCGTCCACCGCTGCAGCCCCTCCCAGAGAAACTCCTTCATCCTCCAAGTCCCCAGCATGTCCCCTTTGCAGTCAACATCTCCCAGCTCCATCAGCGCCTGGCCATCCTGACCTGTTCTCTGTCTCTATGGTTGCCCTCATCCAGAATGGCCGATGAATTGGAACCCCACGGTGGTAGTCTGATGGGTCTGGCTTCATTCCCTCAGCAACACACATCTGAGATACACCCATGTTCCTGCGGGCATTAGGGGCTCGTTCCTTTTCCTCACCGAGTCATCTCTATCTGAAGAGTGGAACCCCCTTCCTCCCCAGTTCCTGTGTTGAAGATCATCTCAGTAGCCTCCAGGTGTGAGTGACAGTCAACCAAGCAGTGAACGTGGCGTGCAGGTTTTACTTGGACGTCGGTTTTCAAATCAGTGTGGTCAATATCTGTGACACTTTGGGGACGTGTGGTACGAGGCCACCGAGCTTTGTGAGCCACAGCCCATCTGACTTACAAAGTGGTTGTGCCCTGTTGCGTGCCCACCAGCCATGGATGAGAGTTTCCGGGGTCCCGCATCCCGGTATTTTGGGCTGTCAGTGTTGCCCAGGAAGGCTCCTGAGCCCCACCATCCTGCCACCTTCCCATGGGTCCCTACCCTGGGTAGTTGTGGGTCATGGAGAGCACTTTTCACTGTCTGCATTATTATTATTATTTTTTCCTGCCTTCTGTCTCCTTGGGAGTCACCTGGGTTCTGGCCCTACACGTCTCAGCCCGACCCAGGGCTTAGAGCCGGGGAGGTGCGCAGTCCATGGTGCTGGCCGCTCCCTGGGCCAGGAGAGCCCTTGGTGGTTCTGTCACCCCTCCTGGGTGACCCTGGCCTCTGCCCTGGGGACACCCTCATTCCTCTGGATTGCCCCCATCTTCCCTGTGACCCCTGCAGCCCTCATAGGCCTTACTTGACTCCAGATCTTTGTATGAACGTCATGTGGTTCTGTAGGGTGCTGCTGAAATCTAGCTCGATGCGGTGGGTGATCCTGGAGGATCTCTTGCCCTTCTCCTTCATGACCTGTAGGGCAGGGCCAAGAGGAGGAAGCAGCCTCAGAACAGACAAAAAGACTCCTTGCCCCAAAGAGCTGTCATCTGTCAGTCAGCACTTCTGGAAGGAAGCGAGGAAGGTTTCCTTCTGCAGAAAGCTCCTTTTTGCCTTGTTTCTGATGCCAGGGAGGGTCAGCAGAGCCCAGCGCACCTGAGGCGCCTGAGTCACCATCTGTGCCCAGGACGTGTGTTTGACCACAGCCTCCACCCCCAACCCAGGCTTGACGTTCCCTCTAGCTGGAGTACTGGGCTCCTGATACAGCCTGGCTTGTTTGTCCTGCCCTGGCTGAGTGTGGGAGGGCCTTACCTTATAGTTCCCTGGGTTCTGGGACTTGACTTTGTCAGTATCCAGCAGGAGTGACCATGCCTGGCCCTGCACCGCCAGGAGAATGCCTTCGTTCACTCTTTGAAAAAGCTACAGACAGAAGAACACTCCAGTGAGACAGGACGCAGGGCACTCCGGGGAGGAAAGCTGGCGAACAGGCCTGCTGTCCTATGGTGAGAACGGGGTGCCATCCACCCACTAAGAGGCAGACAGTGCCAGGTCACAGCCATGGGCGCCTGTCTCCTGGCTATGCAGAGAGCAGTCACGGGGGCCACTCCCTCCCCATGTTACCTTCTTGCTGCTCCTATATTTTGTTCAGTCTGCAAGCATCTTCCGTCACTTGTTGGTACATTTACTTTCCTTACGTCTTTGCTGTCAAATGAGCCATGATGGGGTTAGTGGAGCTGCCAGGCCTCTGACAGTGGCCCGTGGATGCTGAGTCCTGGGCTTTGGAGCTCTGAAGGGACCCAACCTGAAGGAGCCAGGAAAGGGCAGACCCTGGGGGCTGAGACCTTCTGAAGGAACTGGAGCTGATGGTCTGGACTGGTGATGCCAGGACACGCCATCTTCAGGGCACAGATGCTCCCAGTTTTGGTCAGGTCCCAGCCTTCAGCTGGGGACTTGGTGCAATCAGGCAGTGGACTCTAAGCGAAAACTGCAATTCTTGGTTTGGGTTTTGGTCAAGCCCTCATGGGAACAGAGTCCAGCAGGAAAGGCCGCCCCTCTCAGTGACAGTCATGGCCAACTCACCACTGCCCGGGCCCATGGGCCACCCCCTCTGCCTCACCAACCACCCCTGATTCCTGGTCCCTGGACCGGCCTCCCACGTAGTAGGTACAGGCTCTTACCTTCACCTCCCGGGCACTGACAGGGGGCAGCTCCGTCTCACTGAGAGGCAACCCAGGCAGAGCTGAGGACTTGCCCGGGCCAAGAGCCATCCCCCTCCCTGAGAGGGCCCCAGGGAAGGACCAGCTTATCCCCATCCACCCTAAGTCTCAGCCTGGGAGAAGACACAGAGAAGGACGGCAAGGGCCTTCCTGCAGATCTGACACCTGGGAGGCACTGGGACCCTGGAGAGGAGGGAGCTCAAGGCTGGCCTGGCAGCGGCCACTTGGGGCCCGTGGGGCACCTCGGGCTGCACAATGGGGCTGCTCCTCCAGGGCTGGAGGCAACACCCTCTGTGGATGCTGAGAAATTCCAGTTCTGAGACGGGATGGGTGCCGTCCCGGGTGGGTGGCCAAGCCCTGACTTACAGCAGTGCTTTCAGAGTGACCACATCACCCACCAGAGACCAAGGAGCCTGGCGTGAGTGTTGCCCGGTGCCCTGAGGATGCACCTGGAGCCCGTGCCATCCGACACTCCCCATAGGCCTTGCAGGGTCTGACCTCCCAGCGTGCACCTGCCTCTCCCTGCATCCTGGCCACTGACCCTGCCTGCTCCCCATCTTCCCCCATCCTCCCCAGCCCAGAGACTGTGACCCTCTTTCCGGCCACCCTGGCCCTTCTGTGACCCCGTCCTGTCAGAACCTCTGAGTGAGACTTCCCAGATCCATCCACACCCATGCCTTGGTCACTTTCTCACTGGGCTGCTCAGCGCTGCTGGGGACACATCCAGGGAAATAAGGGTGACCAAGGGCCCTGCAGGCAGTGGGGCTGGCCCCACCACTCCCGCTGCAGCCTCAGCTGGCTCTCAGGGTCATTGGCCTTCAGCCCTCAGCCTCCTCCCAGCCACTGCAAAAACCAGGACATGGGATGCCTGGCTGTCCTCCCCCTACTGTCCTGCCTGCCCTGACTAGTCTACCCTGCGAGGTGCTGACTTAGCTAGTGGGAAGCAGAGTATCTGGAGGGCCACGCAGAGCCTTGGGGACTGACCGAGTACCCCCACTGAGTGGTCCCAGGTGAGCCACTGTTCCCTGCCCCACCCCGTGTGTTGTCCTCTTCAGGCTGTCAGCTCCTCCCTGGGCTGGCTTGGTTCAGGTGCATCCCAGAAGTGGCAGGTCTCACGGGCTCACCCTGCCCCCCTCCCCAGGCTCCTCCCTCTCTCCATCTTATGTGTCCTGAGAGGCTGGTTCCAAGCTGGGCTCCCCTTACCAGGCCCAGGTCCCTTCCCTGCACCACTCCCAGGGCCTTCAGCTACATGCTCTGTTGTCTCCCTGGCCTCAGTGAGAAGCCCAGGCCAGGGCCCTGCCCTTCTTCTTCCATAACCTACCAGGGCCAAGGCCAAGGCCTTCACTGTCCCCATGCCCCTTCCTCTTGGCTGAGCCCCCTGAGCCCTCAGAGATCTGCTATACAGCTGCCCACAGGCCAGGCCAGGTGTACCCTTGCCCTGTGGCCACAACCCTCAGATCTCATCAAGGCAGGCCCCAAGGAGACAGGGCCAGACCCTCAGGCTGCCGCCTCCTCTCCTGCTTACTTGGAGACCATAGTCCTGAGAGCCCAAGGGCCTGTCCTAGTCCCCTGTCTGTCCCTACCCACTCTCCCGAGCTCCCTAAACATGTCACAAGGCTGTGCCCTAACCCTGACCATAGCCTGGACCTGCAGGAGAGCCTGGGAGGAGTTCTGACCCTGGAGAGGAGATTGGCCCCCTAAGGGAGACATGTCCTGCTTTAGAGAGGCCTTTCTAGAAACAAAATCCATCCCTGAGGTGAGACTGGTGGCTGGGGTCAGGAGGGCAGAGGATTCACTGCACAATCCCAAGGTGATTGGTGTATTTCCCGATGTCAACCTGCTTATGCCTCATGTCCATTGCTGCCCCAGCTCCGTGTCCCTGAAACTCAGAGAAGGCCAGGATAGGGGGTAGGGGTGAAAGGTGAGAGATGTAGGGGGCCCAGGGATGTTGGCAGCCCCTCCACACCCTGTGATCTTACGGAGTCCAGGACCCTCTGACCAGGGCACAGTGGGAGAGGCGAGGCCCTGCCTCCCTCGAGGGAGTGGCCCGACCTGTACCTGCTCATACTTGGTAATGATGATGTTGCCATGCCCCTGGGCAGGCAGGGTATCTGGGTCCTCATCCATCTCCATCCTGCAAGACAAAGTCATCCAAAGGCTCTGCTGCCCCCAAGAGCTCCAGAGAACAGCCGAACCACACTCACTACATTCCCAGACACACTCCAGTCTGGTGAGCCCCATTCCACTACCCCTCCCAGATGACAGGGGGCCAGACTCAGTGATCCCACCCCTGACTGGATCTCTGGAGTCCTTGCCTCCAACCAGTGATGGGCTCCTTCCTGAGGACTTGAACACATGGGGACCTGGACAGAGAGGCCCATTGTCCCCGAACACCCCAAGGCGGACACACACCTGCCCTGGCAGGACAAACGGTGTCCACTTGCTGAGGGTGAAGGGCCCACGATGGGCTGTTCTGGGCACCTGGAGGCAGGTGGGGTCAGGGACCGGATGTCTCTATAGGATCGTTCAGAAACCAGGAAGATACTCAGTTTTCTGTAGAAAGCAAGACACCTGGTGACTGCTCCGTTGTACCCCAATTCTCACTCACTCTGGCCAGTGAAGCTGTTTCAGGAACAACGCCAGTCAAGGAGTTTGATTTGGGGAAAAGATGATCTATTGACTCTGGAGTAGCCTCTGTGCTCGTGGAGACCCCGTCTCAGGTGGAGGATGGTGGACACTACAATTCCCAGCTGTCAGTACAGGAGGGGGCTTTGTTTTCCTGGGTCACCAAGAAAGAACAAGAGAACTCTGGGGCCTTAGTCCTAGAGAACACCTGGGGGGACCGTCTCTGCCAGGAATACTCGGGGCAAAGGGAGGGTAAGGCCTCTAGAGGATCAGACAGAGAGAATGGGACGCTGTGGGAGGATTCCAGCCCTTTGACCAAGAGGGATGATCATCACCCTCCAGGCAGCCCTCCAGGGCTCCTTCGTTTTCCACAACTGCCTGAGGGCGGAGGGCTCCCTGCCCCACTCCTAGACTAAGGACCCCATGTGTCCAGTGGGTCCAGCAACCATCAGTGACCGCACCTGAAGTCTGAGTTGGTGAGCCCTCCTCCTGTGGGGACCCAGCTTAGGACCCAGACTTGGACTGAGAATTGCAACCTCCACCCTACCCACAGGGGCTCTGTCCCACTGGCTCTTCCAGGACCAGACCCTGCCTCATTGAAGTCCAAAACTCCAGGAAGATTTGGAATCTACAGTAGGGAGGCCATAGCGGTCAGAGCTCAAGTCCAGTATGGCAAAGGGTAGGGCTGAGAGCAGAGACCAGGTCACATCTGGGTCTCTGCACCAGTCACCACCTCTCTGAGTCTACGCATCTCACCTGTGGAATGGGTACATTTGGGGACACCACCCACCCCCACGGAGTTGCTGTGAGGACAAAGGAGAGGATGGCCCACCCAGTCAGTGCAGAACATGCACCCGGTGAGTGCTCAGGGATGACCCTCCATGGCATCTGCCCAGAGGTCACTCACCTGAGTCTGCTGAGGCAGCTGTGTCTCTCACTAACTGTGTCTGGTTCTGTGCATAAAAGTCGTTTATGCACAGAACCAGACACCTGTGTGTGTCTTGTGTCCAAGTGCCGCACAACACAGAGGTGGGTGGGTTGGCGGGTGGGCGGTCACTCAGCACCAGTGACATTGTGGGATCATGGCAGCTGTCACAATGGACCCATTTCCCAGGTTAAGACGGCCCAGAGTCAGTGTCCTCCAGTCCCCGAGTTGTCAAAATGTGTTTGTGCAGGTGAGCATGCACGTTTATATGGGTGAACATGTGTGTGCACAAGTAGCCTCTCTGGCCAGGGCTGGCTGTCCCACTTCCATGTGCACCCAAGTCCTCATCAAGTCCTCAGCAGTGTCATCTTCCCTTGAGGCCTGTGGCCAGCATCAGAGCATCCATGGGTCCTCCCCAATCTCAGGCCTCCCCACCTGGGACAGTCCTGAAGATGCAGATGGGGGATAGCAGGTAGAGGACACGGGACAGGGCCCCTCATTAGGGGGAACTCAGCTAGACTGTAAAATGCTAGGTGTGAGTGGCAGGGTCGGATTCCACACACCGTCTCACCTCCTCCTCCCAGTAGCCTTCCAGGATGCCATGACTCATTTCTGCTACAGATGGAGGCAGGGAGGCTCTAAGGACAAACCCCGTCCCTGAGGTCACCCAGCAACCATCTGGCCAGGCCCCCACTCACCAGACCCCTGCTGGCCAGGCTTTCACTGACCATTTTCCCGGTGACCAGGCCTTCTGACTAGGTCCTCACTGATCAGGCCCCTGATGACCAGTCTCCAGCTGACCACGTCCCCACTGACCAGGTTTTCGTTGACTAAGCCCCAGTGGTCACACCTCTGCTGACCAGGCCCCTGATGACCAATTCCCCACTGACCATGTTCTCACTGACCAGTCCCCCAGCAACTAGGCCTTCCTGACCAGGTCCCCCCTTCCCAGGCCCCAGAACAACAGTGCTCAAGGTCCCCTACCACAGCTGCCCACAGGCAGAGGGCTCCCTACTCCCAGACAAGGGACCCCATGTGTCCAGTGGGTCCCACAGAGACCATCAGTGACCGTACATGAAGTCTGAGTAGGTGAGACCTCTTCCTTCAGGGACTCAGCTTAGGGCACAGACTTGGACCGAGCACCACCTCCCTCCACCCCACTCATAGGAGTTCCATCCCAGTGGCTCTTCCATGGCCAGACTCTGCCCCATCAGGGGCTGGAAAACCCTGGGCAGATTTGGAATCTAGGGCAGGGAGGCCACAGAGGTCAGGACGTGCACAGGGCAGGGCTAAGAGCACAGCCCGGGGTCATGTCTGGGTCCCTTGGCCAGTCACCAACTCTCTGACCCTAGACACCTCACCTGTGGAATGGGTGCATTCGGGGACAGCACCCACCCCACCGAGTCCACCAGGTCAGTGCACAACAGGCACGTGGTGAGTGCTCAGGGATGACCCTCCTCAGCACCTGCCCAGAGGCCAACATTGCCCACCAGGTACTGACTGTCCCCAGGTCAGCAGGGAGGGAACAGAGCAGGTCACACTCACCTGAGTCGGCTGAGTCAGCTGTGTCTCTCATTTAGCAAAACTTCCTCTTCTCAGGACCAGACACCTCTATGTCTTGTTTCCAAGAGCTCTAGATGTAGAGAGGGCAGGCGGGCAGCTGGGCAAGTGCTCAGCACCAGTGACACTGTGGGGTCATGACACCCATCACAATGGGCCCCTGCCTGGGTCAGCCGGGCCCAGAGTCAGCACCCTCCACCCTCTGAAGTGTCAACGTGCGTGTGTGCAGTGTTTGTGCATGTGAGCATGCACGTGTATGTGGGTGAACACGTGTACATGTGTGTGTCACTGCTCTGGCTGGGCCCGGCTGCCTTACTCACATGTGCACCCAGGACACTGGGTCACCCTTGTCACTGTCTCCCCCCGCGGGACTCATGGCCATTATTGGAACATCCACGGGTGCTCCCTAACCTCAGACCTCCCCATCCAGGGCAGTCCTGGCATTGCAGATGGAGGATGGGGACAGAGGGTAGAGGGTTGGGAGCAAAGGGCAAAGGGCACGTCCCCTCCCTAGCAGGGGACTCAGCTAGGCTGTAAAGTGCTAGGTCTGTGCGGCAGGGCTGGATTTCACACACCTGCTCACCTCCTTCTCCCATTAGCCCTCCAGGGTGCCATGACTCGTTCCCACTACAGATGCGCGCGCGCGCGCGCACACACGTTGCTGATGTGCTGACTTACCTCATTGGCATGAAACAGGGGCTGAGCCTGCAATTGTTCTGCCTTTCCCTGGATTTTTCCTTTAGTTTCTCTGACTGCTGGGTTACTGGCCTGTGTTTAGCTTCATGAACATGCGTTTCACTTTATTTTTATGGGGTTCCAGCTCTTGCTCATGGAATCCCTCCCAGTCTGTTTTGTAATCTTCCCTTTTTTACTGCTTGTGAACTTCAAGTACCAGACACAGAGAAAGGTTTGTAGAGACTGTGTACTCAGCCCCCACAATTTCCCTAGCAGGTCCCTTAATTCCCATCACCTCCAGGGAGGGTCATTGCTGGGATCCTAGGAATCGTGTGCTTTTCTTGATGGCCACAGTGGTAACCATAATAGGCAGTTCTTCCCTCTGTGCAATTCTGGAACATAAAAATCTTCTCTGGTAACAAGACTATAGGAAGCAGTGGAAGCAACACTAAACTGAAAGTTTGCTGGCCTGTGTTTCTAAGAAATTTCATGTTTTTACATAAATAATGAAGAAGAAATGACTTTTCTGAAGTTCCTATCATTTATGCCATGGATTGGACTCTTCCATGAATGCAGTTTCATTGATAGATGTGGATAATTAGCTTAACTTCAAGTAAAAGGTTAGAGAGTCAGCAAATTGTCAACATAACTTTGCTTTTTACACTCAAATGACATTAATCAGACAGTTGTGGATCTCTAGAAATATGTATTTGCACACATAAGTTCTATATTAAAATACCCAAGTTTGGAATCCTTCAGGTGACTTATTTTTCATCAAGTAGAAACAATATTAAAATTGCAAAAATTTATTATAATTTATATTATTTGTCCTAATGGCAAAAATGAATTCAAATACATTTATTAAAGTATAATATACACAGGAATCCTATTATTCTACTACTCTGATTTATCACAAAGTGGAGACATGCTTGTAGCCACCACACAATCCAAGAAAATGAAATAAAAATAACAATCTGGAAATCCCTCTCCTGAAGGTCTGCTCCCTAACCACTGCCCATCTGTCTTGCCAAAGCGAAGAGTCACCTGGCTTTTAGCAGCCCCAGTTAATGTTGCCTGTTTCATGAATGGATGCATGGGGGGCCATTCAGTAGGAATGGTTTGTGTGTGGCTTCTTTGGCCCAGCATTACATTTGTGACACTCTTTCAGGTGGTTTCATGAAGCAGTTCATTTCTTTTCCCTGCTCGGTAGTGCTCTGCCTGAATAGGGCACATCTATCAAGTCTACTGTTGATGGACATTGGTTTGTTCCCAGTTTGGGGCTATTAGCAAAAAAACCACTATTAATATTCTTGTTAATGTCTTTTGGTTCACATGTATATTTTAGTTA